GTTTGTGTATGTTCTACATATTGGTAATTGCATTTTTTTACACTGTATAAGGTAAATGTTGTTTTTTGTTTCATAAGTGATTTCTTTGGATATTTTAAAATTTCTTTGATTGTGCTTGTCAGAAAACGAGTAAGTGTTTTTTTTAACTTGCTTTATTACATGGATGACAACCATTTTTTGGTGGAATGTAATTCAATTTTGTGTAAACAAGTATATCTTTTAGAGTTCTGCTTTTTCAGAAGGAGACAACAAGAACTTCAGTAAATATCTGTTTAAGGCGATCGTTCAGTTGTAGGAGATGAAAATGAAATTTCCTACACTGAAAATATATTTCTGATAGGTACTTACCACTTTTCACATAATAGCTTCTCTCGTTCAGTGCTGCCGTCTATATGTGCAAATTTCCTCACTCACCACTAGTCTTGAAACTCCCGCCTATCCCATGTTCAACATGGTTCTACTGCAACTCTTCACTAATAGAAACATGACACACTCTCCTGACACAGCTTACTCCATTTATACTATCCAACCTAACCTTCACTTTAAAATTAAACATGAAAGAAACATCGGAAGTGGGGAAGAGGGGTGGGAAATGTTTTTATCAGAAATATATTTTCAGTATAGAAAAATTTTATCTTCCAATACAGTATCCTACTTCCCCTCACATAATAGGTAGAACCCCACACTAAACTGATGCAACTGGAGGGACTTATACAAAAGTTACCTAGATGAGCATCCTTTAGAAAGCATCCAAAGAATGTCCATAGAGTGTGACAACTCCTGAGAGAGGAAAACACTCGTGGGAGACCACACCACATCTTTACCAGGTAAAATCTTTGCTTCATGAGGTAATAAGTGTTGCCTAATTAGGTGGAAATTAGTTGGAGCACATTCATTAATGTATACATGTTAGTTGGTCCAGCTGAACACCCAACACATACACTGGGGATCAACATCCAGAAGATGGCAGGATGGAGGGTTCCCAACCAAATAAAGTAATGTTGGGGAAAACTAAACAGATGTGCCCCATGGTGTAGAATGGCTAGGGCACATCAGACTATATTCAGTGGGTCAATTCCACTCCTAAACCAGGTGGCATTGGGTATCCATCTTCAGGTTTGCAGTAGGAGGAGGGTCCCTACCATCTTTACCTCAAGCCTATAAGACACAAGGGAAGATGTTCTGTTCTGTCAGATTGGATAGAGCACGTGTTCGCAAATTCTCTACCAACACCAGCCATTTGGAAACCCAACGTTCGAACAATGGTAAGAAGGTAATTGCCCATGTGGTGGTTCAATCAAATCCTAAACCAACCGGACTTCTGGTTCCTGGTCCAGTTCCGTGCACAATCCAGAACTGATGTGTCGAAACCCACAAGTGGTATGCCATTGGTACCCCAGCCATCCAGTGTTCCTGTCAGTCAGTCGAGCTACTTGCAATACCAAACTCCCAAGCCTCAGCCTGATGGAGGAGGTACACCAGGGGTACCCTAACTAACTAGTACATCCTGTCAGTCAGTCCAGCTCCTTGCAATACCAAACTCCCAAGCCTCAGCCTGATGGAGGAGGTACACCAGGGGTACCCTAACCAACTAGTACATCAAGTTGAATGTAAGACTAAGATTCCCAACCAACACATGCATAAGGACTTATGTTGGCTGGTCTAGCTCTAATTCAAAACCTATCATCCAGGAACTAACATCCAGGCCATGAAGATTAGGGGTCCCAACCGGAGGGGTGAACTGCATTATGGTAGATCTACTCCAGTTTCTGATTCTGCAGGAAAATATATACCATCTACACTGGCAGAACACCATCTCCCTACTGAATAGAATTGAACACATTTAGGAGGAAGCCTCCATGGTCCACCATCCCAGCAGCTAGGAACTGATAAGTGGTAAGGACTTCCGTACTCCACTTGAAGAAGGGAGGAACATAATGGGGAGTACAAAGGAACCACAGTAACTATTATGAAAAACAAACTGCTTCGGATTTATTCAATCAAAGTAACAGCAGGGGTGGGCAGCTATTCCCTTTTGCTTTACTCATAATACCCAATGAGTCAGTACGGTCTAGTATGGGCATAATTATGAAGCAATATACCACAAGGAGAACCTACTAGCAGTCTTGTGGAAAATCCCATCTCAACATTGTGCGTTATAGGTCTGGAGAGAGGTATATATATCTTGATGGGTCCAGACCGTGGGTTTTCTCTGGTGGGGCATCCCAGCCAACCATTCGCCTGGTCCAGCTCCTTTCTACACCAGTGTGGATTTTGTGGCTGATAGCCAATAAGTATACCTGGACAGGCACCACTCATTACTGAGCAGAATCTACTACCTATAAGGGGCATGACCCTGTAGGAGAGAGAGGGAGAGAGAAAAGTAAACTTACTAATCCACGGTTCAATCTTTGCATTGAGAATGGCAACAGGTGAAATGCAATATCTGGATGAGGAAGAAATGGCCACATGATGTAGGTAGTGGGAAATTAACGTGTTAGATCCAGTCCACATGCTACTCTGGATGATCTCCAAAGATGATCTCGCACAGATGAGCTGCAAGGGAAAAGGTAAGGTATCAATTTTGTTGAGATGACACTGGAAGAGACACTGGTAATCGGGAGATAGGGATGTATACCCCAGCCAAAAAAGTTGATGAATCCAAAATATGAGGGTAGAAGGTGAAAATTTTCATTCAGAAGATGGGTTCTAGAGAATGAATAATCTGGAATGAGATCTATAGATATAAGACGTGCAGGCGATATAACAATAGAGAGCGTGAATGGGACATAGAAGTCTATCCATATCTACACGGGAGTATAAATGAGAAAGGGAAGGGAGGGAAATGGCATAAAAAAAAAGTTGCTCTCATAAACCACAGATGTTTTGGGAAGGAAGCTATGATTCAGATAAAAGTGAACACAGGCATGGTGGTAAAGATAGGTGAAATGTCAATAGTGAAGATGTCTGATCTCCAACGACCACAGACCAAAATGAGTAGGAAATAGGTTTTAAGGGATAAATGATAGAGAGAACAGGTGGCCAAGAGTTCAAAGGGAGTATGGATAAGGGAGTAGAGAAGAATATTAATATTCTCAATCTGGCAATATTGTAAGGTAAGGAGGACAACTGATCTGGAAGAACATAACAAAAGGGAAAGGTAGTAGAGGAAAACACTTTGTGGTACCGGGTAAAATGCAATGTGTTGGACAAAGCTGTATGATATCCTGCTATGGCAGATACTGAGGAGTTATGATCAAACAGCCATGATAAGTCATGATGGTGGAAGGATAAACTGAATGGGACAAAAATGATATGACAAATGTAAATAGACTGGATCTCCTTGCAAAGGACTGGGCAAAAGCCACAAGTGAAGACAGAGTGTGTTATGTGCAGAAAAACCAGTGACAGAGATTGATGGAGGAGGGATGGCAAAAGAGGAAGGGGTAATGAGGGTTTCATTTGTAGAAGGGTGAGAACCAGGACTGTGCCAACCAGAAAGGTGCTAGCAGAAGTACTCGACATGGAGTACACTAAATGATGGATATCCCCTGGGTAGGAAATAGATCAGTAGATAAGCACACAGGTACAGGTTGGTCCAGTCCTGACTGAGAGCATCTACAGCCAAAGCCAGGAGATGACCAGAACAGGGATGTGTGGCAAAAGTATCCAATTGTGCACAGAGACACTAGAAAACTGAGGGTCTAGGGACCACTCCATGAAAAGGAACTAGTTAGTACAGGATCCACAATGAAATTGAATGTGCCCAGAATATAGTATGCAATGAGGCATGTATGAAAAGCATGGGCCCAAATAAGTCGTTCTAATGGAAACATAGCAAATGGGAAAGGGTGTCATCCTGTGAATTGATGTAACTGACTAATTTTCCTTGTACAGCAGGAAGGAAATGATCCAAAGCCAAAAGGACAGCCAGTAGTTCCAAAATGATGATATGCATGGTTACATCGGCTGGAGACGAACAACCCGAGACCTCCTGATGCTCCGAACTCACCCCTCCCACAACCTGTGAGTGAAGAATATGTAAACAGGTGCAACTCGGGACAAGAAGGTGGAAGAGGAACACCTGCTGTGATGTTGTCTCTGTCAAGCAACCATGTGAAAATGATTAGGAGAGAAAGTGGGAGATGGATAATGGGAGTCCAAGGGCTCACTGGCAATATTCCATTAGTCATACAAAATTCATTGAAGGGTGCACTAAGGGTATAAGAGCTTCCATGGAAGCCTCTATCCCCATAAGAAAAAGAACCTTGCATTTAGTGAGTGTAGGAGAGGTAAGGGCTTTGGTGACTAATAACACCATTGACTGTAGATGAGGAGAAGAAGGCCGGGTCTTACTCAGGTAGCAGTTGAAAAATACTCCCAAGTGGAAAAGTTATTAGGTAGGTGAAAGGAAGGACTTCTCCACCTAGATGATCCAACCTACACATGCTGCTTATCCAGAAGAAAGTGTGGTATTTGTGTGTTACAGGAGACAGTAATAATGACTGAGCTGAGACAAATCTATCCCCAGTCTTGTTGGGAACTACAAACAGCCTGGAATAAAAACCCACTGGTTCAAATTAGATGTTTGTGATGTCAAAATACTAAGTCCATAGCTTTGAACAAATCAGAAACTCAAATTACTGATATTGACAAGCTAGAATATAAGATAAGAACATCATATCTTTTCTATTTGCTGAAATATCACTCATGTACTGAATCAAACACAGTGGCCTCGCTCACCTCTTTCCACTTTTT